GTCCATACTGGTGCTAGTCCATGCCCATGACTCACCTGAGCAGCATGAGCAAAGGCTTTTGCTTGGGTTTTAGGTGAGCTTTGAGGCTGGGCTCTTTTAGGATGGCGTCTAGCACGCTCCTGAAATACTTTCAGAGCTAATTTTGTGTGGAGCAGTCTGTGGTGGTCCAGACGCCGCTATGACTGGCTGTTCTCAAAACAGGAACTTTTTCAGGGCTTGTTTCAGATTGCAGACGGAATTTGTAATTTTTGGGCACCTTCCCCACAAATTGGCCTTGGGATGTTAAATAGTAATGAGGGAGGTCTCAGAACTGCAGGGGGGTCCCCAAGCCAGGGTTAGTTTTAGTGTTACAGGAGCAACCAATACAATACCTTAGAGAACAGATATTTTTAGTAATCCCAGAATACAAAAAAAAAAAAATCAATTCTGAAAGCTGCTGCTTTTTCTCTCACTCCTTTGCTGCATATAAGGAGTATATCAATTTATAAAGCAGCATCTCTGAGTGACATAAATATCCTGGAGCACCAGGCGAGTTCCAGATAGCACCATGCGACTGCCCTGAGAGGGTGTAGCCATGCTGTGCGCTGTTTGGACAACATGACCTCATGGTGACGTAGGACCGTATCAGACAGACTTTTGATGGAAGAGGGATTTAGGTCACCTTCGTGAGACATCCCTCTCATCCCTACAATTAATAGAGACGCAAACCCCAAGCAGGGCACCTGCCTCCTCATTCATAGTTTGCATTAGTAAATTCAACGCGCCTGGCACTCAAATGTGGTGATCCAGGCTGTGAAGTTGCTAGCACACTCCTGCCTACATTTTTGGCCCAGGGTAACTAGTACTTTTCCAAGCAATTGTTGGACTGGCTTCAGGAGCTGGCATATTCCAAGGGCAGTTCCCAATGGGCTGTTTTCCCTCTCTCATCTGTGGTGGAGACAGAGAGATTTAGGAATTAGCACTTTTGTGCTAATTAACCATGGTAAGTTGAATTTCTGGGCACTGATGCAACCAGTACAGAATAGCCTGTGTCTATTCTAGTGACACTTTTTTTGCAGTTTATGTGTTGCCTGAATATCAAAACCAGGCACTGAGATCAGCTTGCTGCAGCAGACGTAGCAGTAGTAAATGGTCTGAGTCTCTTCTTCTACTGCCTCTGCAAGCTCTGGATAAATAGATGTGGAGATTTTGGCACACTGGGTGCTTGAGTGTGGTCACAGTAGGGAGTAGCTGGTCCATCCCATATGAACTCCATATGGACATAGGTAGGACTCCATATGAACGTGGCCCATGCTCTCTTACATGCTTGAAGGGACTGGCTCTAGTGTAATAGCTGGTGATGTGAAATCACGCACATTTGCCTGAAAAGGATTTAGAATAGAACCATAGAATCATGGAATGGTTTGGGTTGGAAAGGACCTTTCAAGGTCATCTAGTCCAACCCCCCTGCCATGGTCAGGGACATCTTCAACCAGATCAGGTTCCTCAGAGCCCCGTCCAACCTGACCTCGAATGTTTCCAGGGATGGGGCATCAACTGCCTCTCTGGGCAACCTGTTATTTCTAGATATGCACTGAATCCATGTGACATACCTGGTATTTACAACTTCTTAGTCAACACTGTAAAACATTTCAAGATTAATAGCCTTCTATCCTCCACTTCCAGAGAAGATCGTGGGTGAGCTATTTCAGAGCCAGTGGACATAGTGCATCAGCATGCATCCACCTAGGAACAGCTATTGGTCTATCCTTTGCCTGCAAAGCCAGGCTCATCTTGGGAGATGCAGGGTAGTCAAGGGTCCTGTCGCCAAGTACAGGGGAGCTGAGTACTCACAGAATTGTTACATCTGCATTAAGACCAGCAAAGCAAGGATGGAGAAGAGCAGAGGAATTCATGCTCATTTTTAACAGTCAGCTGAGATTGGTTGTTGCATTAACAGCCCAGCTCTATTGCACGATCTCTCGCTTTAGCATTTCAGCACCCAGCCTATGGGAGTGCAGAAGTGCATTCCCTGTCGGCTCACAGGTAGCACAAGGCTTTTTTCTCCCTTTTCCCCACCTCATGTGTCTGCCTTGTCTACAGAGATCACAGGCTTTTCAGGGAGCAGCCTGTCTCTTTCTGTATGTTTGCATAATGTGATGCATAATGAGGTTGCCAGGCACTATGGTAACAAATACGATCACGCTGCTTCAAAGCTCACCTCCATATTAACCAGCATTTTATGAGCAACAGAATGAATAAATACTGGTTTGTGTTCCATCTTTAAAGTCCAGCACCTATGTGCATGTTACTACAGCCTCCATCCTTTGTCTCTGGTTCTGTAGATGCAAGCTGTGCTTATGGTGGTCCATGTGGGCTGGTTGGGCAGCCGGCCCTACAATAAGTAAGAAAATGAACTTTACCTGTCTTTCCCTCAGCTGAAGAACACCATTTGGATGTTCCTCCTGTGCCCACTCGCTGATTTTGAGGAAAGGTGGTGTGATTTTCACCTCTGAGATTTCTACCTCTGCCACAAATATGATAGAAAATCGCTAACAGGTTTAGAAGATGCTAGGGAGGGATCTGAGTGACAGATAGACATTGGTGGAGAGAATTAGTGCATTATTTTATTTCCTTTGGAAAGTAGTTGAAAATATATAGTCTACTTTGGAGCAAAAGTGGATCCTAGGGAGAAGCCTCTTATTGTCTGAGGAGCTCGGGTTGAACTTTGAGTTTGTCAGTAACGTGTTCACATCTTTAATCCAGTTCTTTCCTCTTCCTTTCTCTCAGCTCTTCATGCAGGAGGGATATTTTAGCAATGGACTGCAGAGAAATATCTGTGAACAAATGGGTGACATTCAGTGAACAGGAACCAAGAGGACACAAATGAGCCCATTCATGTATTGCTCATTCAGTTCCATGAAGAACAGCATCCTTCAAACAGGCACTATTATCCAAGCCCAGGAAGGGCTGAATCGTAAAAGAGGGGGAGGGAAATGAAGAAATTCAGGGAAAATAGGAAGTAGATGTAGATAGAATCAACAATAAGAAAGGATGGAGAGTTGGAGGTGGGGTTTGGCTCATAAAGATACCTACATTTAGGGATGTATGTTTGAGTGTCTTCACGTGTGCTAGATATTTGTATTCCTATCAGTGGAGATCTAGTCGGTTAACAGAGCCCAAAGAGGCATTCAGCTCATCCTAAAGCAGTCACCCATCTTTGGGACAGGGAAGGGTGAAGGGCTCTCCAAGCTCCACTGACTGTGTTGGCCAGTCCACACTGAGTACCACAAGGACACAGTCACCCTGCAGATCTGGTGAGACCTTAATATAGGTGTCTTTCTTAGGAGGAGAAACACACCCAGGAGGCTGTTGCAACCCGCAATTATTTTGGAAGGGAAAGGTATTTTCCATCTTTGCAGTGGGGTTATGTGAATGGGAAATGTAGTACTGGGTGGGCAGAGAGCTGCACTGAGCCTACACATGAAGGGACCATTTACTACTGGTCCCTGAGGACAACAGATGGACTTCTGCAGCTTAGCCTCCCTGTCTAAGCAGATCCTCTGATGACCGATGAAGCGTGCATGTCCGTACTGAAGCTTTCCTGAGTCTCTGGACTTAGTCCAACTGCTTATCTTCATAAAAGTAAAAGCCGAATATCTCCATGACCATTTGTCAAATTTGGTTGAAGCTGATTAAGATGTTCAAAGCTATTATGGGAAGGGATTGACTGGCAGTACCTTCACACAGAGTTCATTTCCCTAATAAACCAGGCTGAAAACAAGTAACACAACCCAAAGGTGGTTGAGTGGAACAGGGCAGGGGGGGAACAGGGTCTGCAAGTTAGTGGTCCCATTGCCTTACAGGTCCTGAAATTAAGACAAGGGCTTTGATTTCCATGGAAAATTCACCCCTTTGTGGAGGGCTTGGATCACCACCGTTGGGACAGCTCCTAGCTTGTGTTGGAGTCTTAAGGGTCTAAACACTGCCTAGGACTATGAGCACAACCTGTTTAAGGTAGCAACACACTTGGGGTTTCTCCATCCCCATTCTCAGATGAATGGCAGTTTGGTTTGCTTCAAAACTGGAAAGATGTTGGTGCTTTGTTGGGAAGAACTACAAAATGCAAGAGGAGGAGTCTGTGGATGGGAACCACAATGTGTCCAGCAGATGCTAAAAATCTTTGAAATGTGTTTGGGGTTTTTTTGCTCAAAAACGTTGCAGCTCTGTCCAAAAGAAATGAAAGATGGTGTTATTATTTTTTCAGTAAGTCGGAAATTCCCCATCAGCTAATAAAGAGAAGCCATAGCTCACAATACGTGATAAACTGTGCATTTCCTACTCTGCTTGAGTTTACGTCTAAGACAGTTTTATCTTAAACTAATCCTTTACAGAATTAACCAAACTGTTGTGCGTAATTTGGTGCAATATAGGTGAAATGATACAATTCACTACTTACAGGCATGGGTAAGGGGCATCTTGGAAATCTTGGCTCCTTACACTTCTGAATCCCCCAGCTCACTTGCCTTCAGGGAAGTTTGCTGAGAAGTGTGTGTCCTGTGTTGAGTTGCAGAATATGAATTTTGATGTTCCTTTCTAAATATTCTTTTGTATTGTAATTGCAAGAGTCAGGAACTGCTTGCAGGTAGCTTCAGTGCAGAGGTGAAGCTGTAGAAAGAGAAAAGCATCTTATGTTTTCCAAAAAAGCATCGCAGTCACATCTGAGGCCAGATTTGCCGAGGGCATGTGACCATTGTCACACAACTAGCAGATTGTTTGGTGCCCAGGACTGGCTGATTTTAATAGACCAAATTTCATTTGAGGTTTTCCTAATGTGTCAGTGGGTTTCGGATGAGGTAAAAAGTGAGCTGTTGGGAGCCAGTTTTTTGGTAAACCTGACTGGGTGGCGGCTAAAGCCCTTCCAAATAGACCTTGTTGAGCAATGGGGGATTCCATTCCCACATTACCGCTACTGTACTGTTGGTTTAATTCCTGAACCCCCTTTCTTTTTTGATCTTCAGAAACGAGTTCAGACCCTGGGTAGACGTCAAACCTGTGAAAGCTATAAAAGCGAAGGCCCAGTACAAGCCGCCGGAGGAGAAAATGACACATGAAACCAGTTACAGTGCTCAATTCAAGGGGGAAACCAGTAAGCCTGCTCCAGCTGATAACAAATTCCTGGAGCGCAGGAGGATACGCACTCTCTACAGCGAACCCTACAAAGAACCGCCAAAGGTGAGAAACGCGGCGGAAGGGACCCAGGGCCATCACTGGTCCTGGTGGGACTTGTCCAACGCAGTAAGGCTGGGCTCAACACTGCCTGCTGCCGTTCCTCTTATGTGGCATTTTCATTTCTGAGCAGTGGGTGCATCTGGGGATCCACCTTGGAGATAGTGGTGGATGAAAAACTGAATATGAGTTGGTAATGTGAGCTCACAGCCCAGAAAACTAATCATCTCCTGGGCTGCATCACCAGCAGCGTGGCCAGCAGGTCGAGGGAGGGGATTCTGCCCCTCTGCTCCGATCGGGTGAGACCCCACCTGCAGTTCTGCGTCCAGCTCTGGGGTCCTCAGCACAGGAGAGACAGGGACCTGCTGGAGCGGGTCCAGAGGGGGAACACAAAAACGATCAGAGGGCTGGAACACCTCTGCTGTGAGGACAGGCTGAGAGAGCTGGGGTTGTTCAGCCAGGAGGGAGACCTTATTGCAGCCTTTCAGTACCTAAAGGAGGCCTACAAGAAAGCCAGAGGGGCTTTTTACAAGGGCATGTAGCGATAGGACAAAGGGTAATGGCTTTAAACTGAAATAGGACAGGTCTAGATTAGATATTGGGAAGAAATCCTTCACTGTGAGGGTGGTGAGGCACTGGGACAGGTTGCCCAGAGAGGTTGTGGCTGCCCCATCCCTGGCAGTGTCCAAGGCCAGGTTGGATGGGGCTTTGGGCAACCTGGTCTGGTGGAAGGTGTCCCTGCCCATGGCAGGGGGGTTGGAATGAGATGGTCTTTAAGGTCCCTTCCAACCCAAACCCTTCTATGATTCTATGGGCTCTAGTACAGGTTGATGCACTTTGGAGACAATACGTCAAACTGTAAAGAAGTGAGGATAGGGCCCAGATGAAGAGGTTTTTGCGTTGTCATTTCCCAGGTGATTATCTAGACAGCTTTCTCTTTCTCCCTCCAAAACTATAGGCACCCCACATTACACTTTATCCCAGGAACAACATGGTAAGAGCCAGATCCTCATCTGCAATTAATTCAGAGCGCTCCACAGATTTTGTCAGTAAGCACTTTTGGCTTTGATCAGATTGAGGACTTGTCGAGAAGGGCCTAGGCTGAAATGTCTTCCAGCCTTGTTTTCTAGGAGCAGTGGAGGATCTGCTTATAAAAGGAGTCAGTCTGTGCAATTTTAAACCTAGGACCATTAGTCCTTCCCAGAGTTTATAAGTGCTTCCCAGAGCTTATAAGAGATCTCAGAGGGATGGCAGGGCCAGCATGGAGGAGCTGAAGGCTTCTGTTCCTCCTTAATTTTGAAGTTGTCCTCCCTATTTTGGGGGCTGTAGAAACAGGTGGGTACAAGACACTGTTGTGGCCTTTGCTCAGGTGCCAACTGGAGTCCTGCACCCCATCTATCCCCAAGTGATTTTCCTCCATTGTGGCAATCTGTTAAGGAACAAACAGACTTGAGGAGTCATGTCCTGCAAGAAAGGTGGGATTTGTAACAGCCTCTTTGTCCTGAGCATCAGTTCTCTGCTTCAAATCCGGAGAAGGACAATCCCCTGTGGGCTTGCAAAGCCCCTCCTGAAGTCCGAGAAAGATGGAGGAATTGATAAAATGACTGATAATATTCCCTCTCCCATTTACCCTGCTGTGTCCTGACTGGATACAATGGGCTCTGCTGGCTTCAGGGGTGCTGTGATTTCAGGGCATCAACGCCGTGAAAGGAGAGTTGGCCGTTTGCAACTCAGCATGCCCCCGGCTGCTCCCCTCCCTTTGTGGCAGGGCATAGCTGAGTAGATAAGTAACATTCATGCCATTTCTGATCTAAATCCTGTTTTCCACCTGTCCTTGTGTCTCTCTTTCTCTCTCTATCTCTGTGTTGTCGTTTTGCATGTTGCCCTCCATGCAGGTGGAAAAGCCTAGCGTAAAGCCTTCCAAACCAAAAAAGACCACAACAAGCCATAAACCCCTGAAAAAGGCCAAAGACAAGCAGATTGCATCTGGCCGGGCTGCCAAGAAAAAGAGCGCCGAGACCTCCAACACAGCAAAGCCAGAGGACAAGGAGAAAAGTAAAGAGATGAACAATAAACTGGCTGAGGCAAAAGAGTAAATGTCACTGCACTTTCTTCCTCCTTTTTTTCCTTTTCTTTCTTTCTTTCTTTTTTTCTTTCTTCCCTTTTTTTTTTCCTTTGATTAAATAAAGGCCACAAAATTAATTAGAGGCTTCTAATCTGCTTTTTGTTCTGACTGTATTAGAAGCTTTTCTGTTTTATTTCCAAGGAGGATTAGGGAATCCTTGTTTCTGAGGTCAGGTTGTTCTGCTTTGCCTGCACAACACGGCTCTGCACAGAGTGAGGGACGTGGGAATGCACAAGTGGGGTCGTAGGAGATGAAGGTGATGAATCAACCGTGATTGCGTCCAACAGCCTGTCCCTTTCCGCAGGCCTGGTCCTTCAATGCTTTGACGGCGTGGAAGTGCCCGTAGAGCCATGAAGGGGCTGTGCTCTCATCCCATGAGGCCCTTTTGGGGTTGGCCGTTCCTCGGCCGTCTCCCACTGGTGTCAGCAGGTGGAAGGTTTTTTGGAGGCAGAGAGGATCAGAGGTTCATTCATGGTGCTGTGGATCTGCTGTAAATCCACTAGAATCAGTGGTGTGGCCAAGAGCAATTTCCCCTGGTGACACTGGTGGGACTTTCGCTCCAAGAAGCAACGGGAAAGGAGATCCTGTGCAAATAAAGGGCCAAATCCTCCCCCAGGGTAGCTAGGGGGTAGGTCTAGCTGCATCAAGGCAGCTTCATCCATCAACACCACTTGGAAGTCCTTGATTTAAAAAAAAAAGGAGTGAGGGAAGGCACAGAGAGCAGTGAAGACTTCCCAAGCATGTGGCAGGTCAGACTAGGTTATCAGCAGGCTGTTCTTCCCTATTGTTTCCCCTAGGTTATGGATCTTTTTAGTTATTCCGGGTTTGTTTTGAATCTTGGTCTGCTTTCTTCACTTCTGGGGTGCCAGTAGACAGAGCTAGATTTCAGAAAGAGGTTTAGTTTGCAGACGTGACCTTCCGAAGGGTAGAAAGAAATGAGTCACCAAGGTTGACTAGAGCTGTCAGCCCCCATTGTTTTGACTCTACCAGCTGTTGGAGTTCATGTTGGCTCGTGAGCATCCTAAGAGGGCCATAAACCAGTTGCTGGGATCCCTAGAATCTCTCCAGGCAAGATCTCAGGGTTTCAATCCTATTTACTGTGCTCTTACTCTAGGAAATCCCATGCCCAGCAAGACCAGTTTGGAAGCTGTAAACACAGCAGGACCATTTGTCAGTGAGTATGACCTGGCCCAACAGACTGGCACTGCATACCCCAGACTCTGGGTCGTTGAGTCAAGGGGAGCTGGGAGAGGTATGGTCCCAATCCAAATTTACGTGCCTAACTTCTGGATTGGGTCCTAAATACATGAGGATTAATCTTGATCCCACCAAACTGAGCTGTTAAGCTCTCCTTTAGCAGAGTAGCTGCAAGTCAAGATGCAGGGTTCTTCTTTATTTTTGCAGCTCAATATTTCTACCCTAACATGCAGTCCAGCCTGAAACTTTCAGAGAACAGACAATTGGGAAGAACGAAGAGAGATGGGAAGTAGGGTAGGGAGGTGGTGTAAGAGGGGAGTATCAGAACTGTGTTGCTGTAGAGATGTTCAGATGAGGAAAGTCTTGCTGCTAGGATATTTTAGAGATGTGAAACTATCTAACAGAAAAAGGGATGAGCCGGGAGGGTGAGGAGTCCCATTTTGGGGGTCTCACCCCATTAGAATTGGGTCTTTTGGAAACATAAATGAGTGGTGGACTACAAGGCTGAGAGAAAGTTTCCAAAGAGGAGGAAAGCTCTGTGGTATACAGATAGTGACATTTGCTGGCCTTAGTAATGAATAAATGCCAAGTTCAGTGTATTGTGTGATTTGTCCTGTTTGCCTTGCGCTAACAGCCTAAACCTTTGAGTATAAGTAAGTGTAGTGTTCTGAATTCAGTGGTGTATTTCCAAGCTTAGCTGTGTTAGAACTGTGTGCTATGAGCTAGTCAGGTTGTGTATGTGGAAAATATATATTCATATATAGAAATATATATATTTAAACCTCCAATGTTTAGGAGGAAACCAGGGAAATCCTCCAGGAAGTAAAACTGTGGAAATCTTTGCGAATGTAGTGCATTTTTTGATGTGCATGCTCCATGGAGACGCTGACCTGTCCATATTGACCATTGCTTTTCTGAGTGCTCAGAAGCCCCTGCAGCACTGCTCGAGTGCAAAGCTCAGCTCTGTCTCCAGAGCAGCTCGGCAGAAGGCTTGCGGTGAGCTGGTGGAGAGGAGTGTCGCTCACAGCTCTTCCCACCCGGCCGCACAAGGGACAACTGGCCAGAGAAGCCTGAGCTTCCAAGACTTGGTGTGATTCCTTGGCATTTAGATGCTTCATGCATCGTCACACTCTTCAGTAACGTCCTTTCCTATCGCAGGATATAGCAACAGCCGTGAAGATGACGTGTCTCAGCAGGCAGAACATGTCAGGAAGGCACGTAGACAGTTACCAATAGCCCAACACACCGATCTCACTGTACATAAGGAAAGACCATGCCAAACAATTCGCCCTATGATTTTTTGGCCCTAAGTTTCACATTGAAAGAGACACCATGCTTGCCACCATTTCACCTTGAATTCAATGGGAATTTAACCCTTGACTTCAAGGGTAACCAAATTTTGCCCAAGGAACAGCATTAAGATGCTCAGCCCACCTAATCCAAGCATCTTCATGACTCTGGATCAACTCCTCACCATCCAGGGCTTCAGGATTGCTTCTTCTCAATGAAGAGTATCCATCACTGTGTTTGAGTGGAACATGCACAGTGAGTGGTCAGAACATGGCCTTATGTTTCCTTAATGCGTGAAGTTTTTTGGTGGCATCTAACTACAAAGCTAGGTATGAAGAGCTAGCCAGTGGTCTAAATTCCCTTTCTAGTGAAGGAACTTTCCAAGGGCCATTGAGCGACCTATTTTGGACACCTCTCTTTGGGTGGGATAAATGATCCTTGGAAGGTTTCAATCTTTGCAGAAAGAGCCTGGGAGACCGGTAGGACCTGGGGACCTCCCTCTCAGACAGCAACAAAATAGGGATATAAATCCTGGCCTTTGCTCCATGTGCACCAGGTCCTCAGCATACATCCAAGCACACAGTTTAGCATTGCATTGAATGCCAGGAACTGCAGCAGAGTCAGGCCTCAGGGTGAAATCCTGCATTGCTCTACCTTCCACAGACTTTATGCCCATCCGACCCACTCAGGTTTATCAGAAAGGAGACCAAATCTCTGCCGTTTCAAGTTCACTTTGGACTCTGAGCTTGTCGATCCCACTGGGAAAGAGTGCTCTGCTGTTCTGTGTTTCCAGCTACCACAATGCTGATTCTGTTTCACCGCTAATTTGTAATAAGTTTTGCTTTCCTTGTAAAAAGAAAAAAAAAAAGAAATGTTTTGCTTTTTACCCTGTGAAAGTTCCTATGCTGTCTATTGCTTGCTTTCTCATTTTCACTGTATTGTACTGTTACTCCTTTCTGCAAAATGGTGCTAACTGCTGACTGAGCTCCTGTTTTCTGACTGCTTTGCACACCGATCACCCGCTTCTTCATTTTGCAACGCGTCCAGTGTGAAAACATGGCTCCCATGAATTCCACAAACTCTTGCCTCTTGGAGGCAGATAGGAAGTGTCTAATTAATATTTTGTGGCCTGGGTTTGGTTGCGTATCACAAATTGTCTCTTGTAATGTGTTAAGCACACCTCCTCGTGGTGCTTTTTCATTCTTGCTGTTCTGATGAGAATGACACACACAAACACACACACACACAAATTAATGTATAGCCAATTGATTGTGACGTGCTTGTGATCTTTGCTTGCTCAAAGGGGTTTTTTTTCCAATGATAAATAAATGCTAAAGACGAATACCACCTCCTTGACCTTGTTTTCTCGATAAGAAGCACAGTTAAGTGAAAGAAACACCCTTCCAACCGTAATCAGATTTGTGTTGCTTAGAGCCTCCACTTCCATGCCTGCTGTAGGGACAACTGAGCTGTCACAGTCTGACTCCCTTTAGATGGCCGCTAACCTCAGACTAGCCTGGCGTGAGAGCTAAGCCTTTGCAAATGTGAAGATGGACAATGAAGTCATGTGGACGGAGCAGGTAGTTTGCTTTTATTTTCTACGTATACAGTGTCTTAGCAGGAGGTTGGTGCACGCAGGCTGCTGCTGCACCTTGCTCGTGTCCACGTCGCACTGGGTCAGGGAGCAGAAACCGAGCCCCGTCGAGAGCTGGAGGGAGGGGAGGTGATGTGGATGAGATGATTGCTTAATTAGACACCTTTTCCAACTACCTACAGCTTTTGCTTTGGCCCAAAACCACCTGAAAGGCCCATGAGAGGGGTCAAGGGCCTGTAAATCCTCATTGAAAGGAGGTGGCAAGCTCTTGCATTGAGCACTTCCAGTGTGCTGCAAGCCTAGCCACCGCTGAACAAGCACTTGGCAGTGTCTGTGGAAGCGCAAAGCACTGATTTTATATTGATGAAAGCATTGGCTATCTGGAGAAAGTGGGGTTGAGACGAAAGTAGGGCTGAGGGCACAATTTTATTTTAAATGGTGAACCCTAATCTTAGTTTCATCTCTTTTTTCTTTTAATTAGTCTGTAAGCTCCTACCTGCAATTTTTATTTTTAATCATGTTTTCTCTTTTAATGGATATTCCAATAACATCCCCACCAACGTAGGGAAAATTGTCTGCATTGGGGGTGTATTTTGAAAACTTTCGTCCAACATAGCTCTGCTGACTTCCATGGAGCACCAACCCTTTTCTGCCTTACCGTTTCTGGGTACTACTTCTCATCCCTGCCTGGTTTACAAATCAATTACTGAATTTATTCCACCTGTGACTACATGCTAATAACAGTGCTGCTTTCTGATGTCCTGCCATACCACCCTGCCTTCCCCTTCCCTTCCCCACCAGCTTCATCCATTCATCGATCACACATAACTATACGATCTTCAGAGTGTTTCAGCTGAGCTATAGGTCCAGAGATTTATCATTTCACCCCTCCGCAGCTGGTATTGGAGAAAATGTTCATTGTTAAAAGATTGGTCGTTGATGGGGCTTACCTGTGACGATCCATGTTGGCCAACAAAATGTTTCTCCCATGACACAAAGGTACAGGGTCTTTTCCATGCTGCAGCATGGAAGCGTAATCCATCTGGTCCCACCCAGCTGCCCACATCCAGTGCTGGAAAACATGCCTTGGCTGCCCTATTGCACTCTGAACTTGCTCAGCATTGCAAAAAAGCAAAGGAAAAAAAACCCAAAGGGGCAGGATGCACTTCTAAGAGACAGTAGGACCTACTGGGCAGATGACAGGTATGGGGACCTGGGCTCCGTGGTCCAGTCATCACTGTCAGACCCCACTGCTACTGACTCACTCCTTAATCTTTGCAAGTCGTTAGTGACTGGCACTGCCCACCTATTTCCAAGGGTTGTTGTGAGAATGATGTCTATGCAAAGCACTGGAGGTGGGTTACTAAAAATGAAATGCTTTGTCTTTTAAGACCATTTAGTGTGGAGGTGCTGGCTGGAGTAGAAATAGTCCTAATTCTTAGTGTTGATGTCTGGTGTGGGGACAAGGAGGGGAGAGAAAATATTGGTGTGTGGAATTTAAAGAGTCAAGTCTGCTTCTCAAACTCTAAATAACAGAGCATCTGAGTGTGGCTTTGCAGAGCTGTCACTTTGGCTGCACGGTGTGAGCAGGATAGCCTGCATGTTTCTGATTTTAATCAGTTGCTTTCAAATATATCCTATGCTGAGGGGTTCAGCACCCGCACCCCGGAGCCTTGGGCATGGGTGGATGAAGAGGTTCCTGCCTGATGCTCTTCATCCCGTTCCATGCATCAGACAGGAGCTTAAGTGCCTTGGGCACAGGACTGAGATTTACTGATTTTGCCACTTCCAAATCTCTGAGCTTCCTTTGAAAACCTCAGTTATCATTATTACATCCCTGACTGGTAAAGCAACGTCAAAGAATGAGTACGGGTATTTCATCAGCTGACGTGTCAGCCCTTATACGAACACAGCGTCTTGTGTCACAATATCCTTTGGATTTAGGGTTTATTTAGAGATGTGCCAGTGCAGGAGAGAAAGGGACTTTTTAAGAAGATGTCTTTGTCATAGCTGGTACCTCCCAACATCCAAGGAA